GTTCCTGGTCCCAACCTGTCCTTTTCATTAAAGAACAGGCTCCTGAGCCTCATTGCTAGAAAGCTGGATGGAGGACACAGGCAACAAAATTCCTTAGTGACAACTCTGATCTCTTCATGCTGTCTGTCCTGAAGACTTCTCCTCCTCCCCTCACTTGAGCTATGAGTTGCAGGTGATTGGAATGAATACCTTAGTGATGGTTTAGGTTTGGTGGAGGGGGGGGATGCTGAAACTTGCCACTTTCCTTCATGCTTCTGTTGCTGTTTCTGTGCTGGCTTGGAATGACAGGGGAAGGACTGGGTGAAAATCGTGCCAAGTCACTTGCTGTTATAGTCAACTGCTTTAATAGCAGTTGAAGTGGCTGCTGCCTCACCTAGGTAATGTTTTGGGGTTGCTGTTAGACACCAGCTTCTCACATTGTGACTTTCCTCGTTGTCACACTTGTAAAAACATTTGTAGCTGCATGCTCAATATTTTCCTTTGGGGTAGGTTGTTTAAATGGCAGGTTTCTTGGAAGTCTGTTGATCTAAATAGATGGAGACATTTGCCTTTGCTCAGTTTCTGTAGCTGGAAGGAACAGCGAGGCAACCTTTTGGGAAAATAAAAAAGCAAATCTATTTTGCTGCTTTAAATGAGCCAGTTTGAAACACTGTGCAGCTCCTTTGAAGGTTTGCATAGCCTGAGCTTCCAGGTCCTGGTGCTTTGGCTTCAGGGCTTTGTGGCTTAGTGCTTGTGAGCCTTAAGCCAGCGCCACCGGGTGGGTTTTTGTCTCTGGCTCTCAGTTTCCTGACTGGAAAATCCAGATGTGTTTTTATGGATGAGTGATTTGGTTCTGAAGTGTAATTGAAAGGCAGAGCTCTTGTTTTTACTGCGGTGGGGTGGAAACTCATTTTCTCAGTATAGGGTCCAGCATTTGTTTGCAAAGCTTGTGAGAAGCAGAATGCTATCAGGAAAGTGCCTTTTCTGATATGTCCTTTAGTGCTAAACAAAGTGATTAATATGTCCTCCTTTCCTGAGGTCTGTGCTGGAAGATGGGGGATTTCCTCCCCTGTCACATCCCTCTTGAAGCTATGGCTTTGTTCTGGCCACAGCCTCTCTATTTCATGGCTACAGCTGGAGTTCCTGGAAGAAGTTTCCATCCTGGGTCTCCACCCGCTTCAACTTCAAACACTTCATAAAGCTTTGGATCACTCTTAGCTTAAATATTTTCTTTTATTCCTGCATTTGTAAAGTAGGTCAGGTTAAAGTGTGACATTTTTTTGTATAGAACAGCTTTTTCCAGGGGTTCTGTGGTTGGTGAGTAACGGATATGGAGCTGCAGTGTTTGATCATGACAGCCTGACTCGAATTGGTTCTGAGGGAAAAGCCATGCTCAATTGTGTGAAGAGAAGGAATGGTTCCGTTGGGCCTTATTCCTTGTTGTCATCTTCCTGGGCAGCTGTATAGGAAAGTAGTTTTGCTGGAGGTGGAAGAACACTGGTTGTCCTCAGAAAGGACAGGGACAGCATTTGGTCATTTAAGGTCCCTTCCAACCCAACCCATTCTAGGATTCATTTGGCAAAGCTTTAGCTGTTGATAAAGGGACACAACAACTCCAAGTCTGTGCTTTTTCTCATTGTTTTAGAGCAGTCTTTTGTCTCTAGGTAAACCCAGGGTACAACCTGGAGAGATCCGTGTCCTTAAGCACAAGAGGAGCAATGGCTTTGCTTTGAATTGCTGTCCTTGGAAAAGGGTTTATCTTTTGGAGATGTTTTTGAGGTGCCCCAATACGAATTCCTCCTTCGGACGTTTTTGTACATCTCAGAAGCATCTGCTCGTTGTGTCGTGCTGAGCCTTGGGTGCTTTGGGAGAGAACTTCTTCAGAAGACAGACTGCCTTTGGGGTTTTCTTCATTCCATGACTGCACTGTGCAGGAGGAGAACATGCCACAAGCACGGGCATCCAGAACAGGCCATCAAAGCAGGTTTCTGTTCAACCCAGGAGCTAGGTGGTGCTTCAGAGGGTTTTGCTGCCACTGCTGCATGTAACTTTGCGCCTGTGCTCTGCTTTGCCCACCCATTTCTTTACCAGAGAAGATCATGCCTTTCAGGAAGCTTTTCCAAGCTGGTTACCTCTCCTGCTTGGATTTTACCAAGTGCTGCTTTTTCATCTGTGCTGAAGGGCTTTCTTGGAGGTAGTCCAGTCTTCCTGCAGCAAATCCAGGCTCATGAATGTACATTTGAACTCCTGCAGTCTGTCATCCAGTTCTCTGTTACGAAGCAGCCAGTTAACACGTAGCACTTCTTTATTTTTCCTGAAGAAAACAGGTTTCAGGGAATGTTGTCCTCTCCAAACGTGCCTTTCCTGGGCTTGGATCATCTTCATAAATCCCCCTGCAGAGCATTTTAGTGTGAGGAAAGGTGCAATCTCATGGAGTGGTCAGTGACATATATTTTCCCCCCGTGGAGGAGTGGCATTATAATGCTGAAGCGCAGAGGAGGCCTTGGCCTTGGATTCATACTGGTTCAGTCACTGGCATTGTTGTTGGAGTCTCAGGATCCTGGATCTGCCCATGGCAAGGCAACTTTGTTGAAATAGCATGTTGGTATTTAAAACAATATTAATACTACATTTAATTCATTAAATACACAAAGGCAAGTTAAAGCGTTTCCATGTGTGCGCTGTTGGTTCTGGCGGGAGGTTCTGCAGATGGTTTTATGTGGTTTCAGACAACATTTTAGCACATTCTTAAAATACCCACAAAAGCCTTTATGTAAAATCTCATAAAGGTGAAGCACATAAAAATGATTTTTTTTCCCTGTTTCATGTCATTAGGATCAAAGTACAGTAGGTAAGAAGAAATTTCCAAAAGCCTTGTTTTGGTCCCTCTCTTAATGAATGTTTCATGCTCACAACAAGCTCATAAAGTGGCTAATGGGGAAACTGTCTGTGCACACAGTCACATTCTCAGTGCCTGACAGGTCATTTTCAGTGAATTCACTACATTCGAATATTTTCTTAAGCAAACTGGGTCTAGAAATGGACAAAGAGTTTTAGCTCCCTGCCCTTCGATCCACGCTGCCCTTCTGGCAAAGGGAGGGTCACTTCGTCTGGAGCTGAGGTTTGCTGCAGGACTGAAATTCCCATTAACTACATTAACCAAAATCCATTTGTGAACTCCCCTGGGGATATAAAAAGGGTGTTTCTTGGTTTGTTAGGTTTAAATTGCCTGCTGGAAGTCTGGCTTTAGCATGCCTGTGGAGCAAAGGGGGTTCCTTTTTTAATGGTGTGTTATCAGTGACTTGACTAATGTCATAGGACAGTGTATGTTGGGTACTTAAATGCTCAGACTAAGCCTGGTGATGAGTAGCAGTAGTCACCTATTACAAATAAGATGATGTGGTGAGTTGTATGAAGTCGTGTTCCCCTCCTGGCATCAGCACTGGGTTTGATACAGGCTTGGATGCAGGCATTTAAAAAGAATTGGGGCTCTTTTGGTCATTCTCTCTGTGCAGAGAATGTATTGAAAGTCACCTGTGGTGTTCACATCAGCTTCCCAATATCTTTTCTCCTGGCTTGTAGAAGGGATGGGTTAGTGTTCTGGAATCCACAACACTTCATAAAGTCCAAAGTGCACAGTAAATCACACCTTAAGTGCCACTGACAACCATGAGGCTTGTGTTTGGAAAGGAGGGGAGTGTGACGGTGCGAGGGTTCAACAAGTTCTTGACGTTGGCAGTGAGGGGTACTTCACTTTCTTGCAGAAGAGGAGAAACATGCAGATCTATGGGATCATCTTGCTCATCAGTAAGATGCAGGACCATAGAGTGATTTAATCTGTGAGACTCAGGGAACTGTCAGTCGTGGCAGCTCCTCATGTCTTTGGATGGGGAGCTTTTGCTGTCCTCCAGACCAGGAATTCTCCGGTGTCCTGTGGGCCTTCCATGCAGAACAGCAGCAAGTGCTCAGAGCAGAAATGCCTGACTACTCAAATCTTGTATCATTCATCTTCTGGCTCAGCTGAAGCTGCCCCTCCTCCTTCCCTTGGCCCTTTGCAGGAGATGGTGGTTCTGTGCAGTCTGAGTTCATTGCTGAGATCCAGGAGTTGTGTGCCATGAAGGAGTATTCCCTGCTCAATACTCCCTGTGACTGTTTGGTAACTTGAGAGTAGAAACAGTAACGTGCTGTGGGTTACAGGTTTGGTTTTCTAGGAGCCAAAATTGCTTCTTGTGCATCTTTCTTCCTACGGTGTTGGGTTATTTACTGTCATTTCAGAGTGCATCTTCCATCTGGCACATCAGGAGCCTCGTACCAGTGTTGCGAAAGAGAAGTGGGGCTCTGCAGATATCATTGCACTGCTAGTTTTCTAAGAGAGTGCTTTTTGCTAACAGAAACCTGAGCTTTAGGTAGTCCAGCTTCTTTTCTGTTGTGTCTAAAGCTGGAATAACATGTGAAGCTCCACAGCATCCCTTCGTTTCGAAGAACCTTGGGTTCAGTTCAACTCTATTTGCAATAAATCAGTAACTCAGCTTCACACAAACTTGTGAGGCAGCAGCACAAAGCTACTTGCTCCCTTTTGTCTTAATTAGCAGACTTTGTTGTAAAGAACTTCCAGACTTTCCCAATAGAGAGAGAAAATGGGGGGGGAGGAAGGCCCAAACTGTAAAATAAAGCCTTACTCTCGGCCTACTTTGTAGTTGTGCTTTTACCAGCTGTTGTAGTTAATTGGAATCAGAGGAATCGTTTGCTCAAGTACTGTAGGAATCTGTAACTAGCTCTGTTTCTCACTAGGCTTTTATCCTCCTTTACAGAAATGTTTTTGTAATGCAAGTCTCTGTATTATAAAATGATTCCAACTGCTGTGTTTGTAGGTGTATAACTACTGAGGGGGTGCTGGCTTAAAAGAAGGAAAACTCTTTACTAGGATATAGACATTCTGCTTATTTAAGATGATTATTGATCTCTGACTCTGGCTGGGGTCCTGCTTACTTCTAACATGCATATTGCATTGCATTCTGCAGGTATTTCGAAGGTGGAGTCTCCTCTGTCTACCTCTGGGATCTGGATCATGGCTTTGCCGGGGTGATCCTCATTAAGAAAGCTGGAGATGGATCAAAGAAGATTAAGGGATGCTGGGATTCCATCCACGTGGTGGAGGTTCAGGTACAGCCTCTGGGGTAGCTGCTACCTGGAAGTGCAAACAAACCCCAGTTAACTCCAGCCCGTTGAGAAGCACAGGTGTTCTGCTGAACAATGCACTATTGTCTGAGGGGCTGTGACTGCTTTCCCCTGTTAATTTCTGGGTATTCCCTGGAGCAATTTGGATAGAGATAAGTCAGGGCTATAATCAGAAAGAATCCCAGAAGAATTGGAAGTACGTTACTTTCTGTGCTTGTGAGCCTGAGATTGTAGATATTTTTTTAACCTAAAGGTCTACAGATAAATATCACTAATGAGGTAATAAAGCCAAGGTGATGGGAGGTGAAATTGCTCCAACTTTGAGATTTGCTTTGGAAAATTAGGGGAACGTGCACGCTTATTTCTAGGAAACAAACTGTGCTGTGTGGGTGAGGTTGCACATACCTGTCCTGGTGCTTGTGGGCTCTGCAGGGCCAGCCACCGTTTAGCTTTGGGAGGGATTTTAACCTTTTGTCTCTGTCCCTTTGGTTATCCAGGAGAAATCCAGTGGTCGTACTGCTCATTACAAGCTGACCTCCACAGTGATGCTGTGGCTGCAGACTAATAAAACTGGTTCTGGTACCATGAACCTCGGAGGGAGCCTCACCAGACAGGTATGTTTGTACGTTGGCATGAGTGGATGCTGCAGGCCCCAAGGCTGCAGACCCCAGGCATGCCTTTCCTTATTTATACACCCAGTAGCCCCAGTCAGGCACAAAGAGTTGCTTTTGTGAGGTGTTGTATAAACATCTCTTCTCCTGCTGTGTGTGCAGCCCAGTGAAACAGCTAATGCATAAGTGTGTGATTACCAGGAAGCCCCTTGAACTTTGCTCGGTGGCAGAGTCGCTTTCAGTAGAGATCATTCAGGAGGAGTTCAGGCTTGCTTTTAAGTCTTCATTTGTCCTTTGGTATTCCTAAATGTTTATACTTTGATATGCATTACCCAGGCAGTTTTATTTGTAAGATTTGACCACTTTCTTACTGGAAGATTCCAATAGGATTATAAAAATACAAGATGACCTCTTCTGTTACGTCTCTCTTTGAAAAGCCATCAACAAACCTCTAATTTGCATTGGCTGTAGGATTCTCCTGTTCTTCAGGACATCAGTTATCTGTTAGTATCCTCGTTTAGTATTTTCTTCCTGCAATACCAAGACACTGATTTATAAAATCTCTTGAAGAAGAAGTTGGGGTTGTGCATGTGCTACTTTGGCTTCCTCTTGAGAGCCCTGGTCTTGGCAGGGAAGGTACCAGGCTGATGACTGCTCAGGCAGTGCTGCTGGCTCTGGCAGGCAGGATCTGCTGGGCTTGACCTCCCTGGGTGAAGGTGCTTCTGCCCCAGCCACCTGCCAGAGGTGGCCATCAACCTGCTTCATGCTGCTGATGCACTGTGGTTACTTAAGATGTGGGCTGTGGAAATCAGTGGCTCGAGCAGGATAATGAACTCTGGAGGACAGAAGGCATATTGTATGGTCAGGAATGACTGGAGAGACTGGCAGTAGGTAAAACTCCTTTGTGAGACCTCCCAGGGCAGGGTGTTGCTCTCGATACCAAGGACAATGCAGACTCTGTTAAACACTTCATGTTCTTGTACAGGTTGGGCTGGGAGGAGGGAGGAAGGCTCTGTGATTGCAGAGAGGAACCAGGATTGTGGCAGTATTGCAGCTGCAGCAGCTTGCCCTAGACCTGGGTGATTTTTCTTTCCATGTGGTTGATTTCCAGAAGAAGCTGATGGAAAAGCAGGCAGGGATGAGGCATGTGGAGACAGTTCTGAGCATTGCAAAGCTTTGCAGTAATTGCAGCCGAGTTGTGGTGACCCGAACAAATACTCAGTCACAGGCCTTCCTAATGCTTGAAATCATAGCTGTGAAGTGGAGGCCAAGGGCTTGACTCTGGCCATGGCCTTATGGTGCACGAGAGCTGAGCCAAGGAAAACAGGAGTCTGTTGAGAATGGGTGTCCTCAGTACACCTTGGCCTGGACTGCTTTAGGCCTCGTTTAGTTTGACTTTCGCTCTCTAAGCTTCAGCAGGGAGATTCATGCTTCTGTCATCGTTTGAACAGCAGAGCATTTCATTCATATGTGATGTATTAAAGCAGGGGCCTGCTTCCAATGTAAGTATCCATAAAAAAGCCACTGGGGTAATGATGCACTGCTTCTACACAAACAATGGAAACTTGAGTTTCAGAGTGCAGCTTTGGGCTGGAGGTTTTCTGTCTGTGGATGTCATAGAAGGCTTAATGGGACAGAATCCACAGCAGAGAAGGAAAACCTTCGTGCTGCCTTGAGCTGTGCTATGTCCTGAGCCATTTATTTAGCTGTAGCTGGACTGAACTCCTGAGTTCAGGGCTTTTACTTTGCTGTAAATCCAGTTTGCTATATCACCTAAGGACAGCAGGGCTTGTTTTTTACTTTCTGGTAGGCTTTCTGTACAGTCTGCAGCAAACTCAGGCACTAAAGGTAGGTTTTAGTTATCTCTTGATTGCTATGGTACAGTTTTACCTCGATGACACCAGTAATCTGATCTCCTAACCATGATTTTGTCCATGGTAAATTGTACATGGTTTTGGTCAACTCAGCATTTAAGCTGCTTGACTGCCTTTGATCCTACAACGTGAATAGCAGATGTCCTTGTGTTTTTGAAGTGTTCACAAGCTTTGTAATATCCTGGCTTATAAACTGATGCCAGAGAGGACCTTTGAGTGCTTTGAAAGGGAAGCCTGTTGAGAGCCATAACTTTGAAACCAGTTTTGCCTCGTAGCTGCAAATCGGGCACTTCTGGAGTGATGAACTTGGTGGCTGGGAGCAGGCGCAAAGGACCAGCTCATGGAATGCTTCCTAATTCCCCACCTCTGGCAGCCACGAAGAGCTGGGCCTGGCTCACACTGAAATGCTGTGGGAAGCATTTGCAGCTTCAGATGGAAACGCTTGCTCAGTAATTCCCCTTCCTAATGTCTGCAGATTACACCTGGCACAAGTAAGCGAGATCTGTGCGTGGACAGCGTGGTAGAGCTCAACTGGGAGCTAGAAGTTAGGGAACAGTGATTTCTAGACTCTGCTGTCATTTCCCTCTGGTGAAATACCATTGTCCTGCATCAGACCCAAACACAGAGGGGGTTTTGTTGCCTCTGTCAAGAGTATTTGGGAAAACTTGGGCTTTGCATTTCTTGAATATCCCCAGACTCTTGTTCCTACGAGGCTCCACTGAGGCCGTTCCTCAGTGCTGCACCGAATGTCTAAGAGCGATTCTTTCCTCTCTTCAGTACACGAGGTATTTGAGTGTTCTTACACCTTGATTGTGGCCATGTGATGTTATGTTCTGAGTAGATACTACTTGGAGGTCATGTCCCTAGACTACGTCTACTCTAATGTCACTGAGAAGTGACACATCTCTTCCAGTTCATCAAAGTACTACTTTTCAGTGGGGTTCCCATGCAGTTTTTCATGTGCTACTATAGGAGTTGTCTCTGCCTTTGTTTATAGGGGGAAAGTAGCATTTTATGTTTGTAAGTGGACAGAAGTAAAGAGGGAGAACCACAGTAGATGGAGGAGTTGGAAACCTCCTTTATGTAACTTTGATTTACTTTACCTGAGGGCTTTGGAATTGGGAAAGGGAAGGAGCAGAGTGTTACACACCTTCTGCCTCAGTGAGGGGCCACGGGTAGAAGTGCTGTATGTCTGAGGGGAAAGGACAGGACCTGCTCCCTTCTATTAGCCACAAAGGGAGAAGTGCTTGCAGGGAAATGAGGAATGGCAGCAGCCTTTCAGTTACCTTGCACATGCTGCAGTGACTGCAGGTAACTGCCCTGCCTCCTGATTCAAGCCAGATGCTTGGCAGATGGTTTTCTCCCTGACAGACATTAGGGTCCCATCCTCTCTGTGTACACTGGAATCACTTGTGTCGCTCTGCATTGCTTTGGCTTGGTTTTGAGGTTCTTAGGCTGCACTTTAAGGTAAGAGCAGCTGGATGATCCAGTTTCATTTCACGCAAAGTAGATGTAACATTCCCATTTTCTGGCAAATACTCCAAACTGCACTTTGTGGGACAGGTTTCTGCAGCCCCCTCCTCAAAAGCAAGACTTAGCAGGTGCCTTTCGGAGGCCTCGTTGCGCACAAAGAACCTCTGTGTGTTTCCTGCACCACCGTGACCATTGTGAGGAAGTTCAAGTTTGCTGAGAACGAAGTTTACTCCAAACCTCTCGTGTATTTACCTCCGGAGGTGTGGAAAGGGGAGGGCATAAGGCTGGGGGGGAAGTGAAGCCTGGGCTTTCACATGAACCCAGCACAGATGGGTGTTGATTTTCATACTTGAAACGCTCTCTAGCGAAGGTGGAACATGCTGCAGGGCTGGATGAAGGCTGCTCTGCTGCAGACCGAGCTCTCCCTGCACTCAAGGAGATGTGCCCTGTGGTCTGTTACTGCTCCATAAAACACCAGCAGAGACATTCTGCCATTTATCATAATAGGTGACTCCTCTGAGGCTTGTGCTCTGCAATTAGGAGAGCCATATATTTTCATCAAGTTGAGCTTTCATGTTAGGCCTGTGCCACTGACTTCCAGATGTTAGAATGTTAAGTGAGTTGGGGAGTGTTTTCCTACCGGAGGGATCTTCCAGTTGTAGCTTTTGCAATCCTTAAGCTCTCTCTCAGTGGTTGTCCAGGTTCCTATCTCTTTCACTGCTAACTGAGCAGTATTTTGGGGTGCAGAGGATAGCAGGGATGAACTGAACAGTAATTGTCCAGGGAATTACTTCTGCCTCACATGAACATCTGGATTTTACATCCATGCAATCAGTTCTGTATTGGCTGGTTTAGAAAAAGAGAGAGTAGAGCTGAGCCTTTGCAGCCTTTGTGGCATCCAAAGCTGATGTTGCATCCTCAGATTTCCTCATGTTTTTGATGGGACAGTTTGGTAAAGGATGTGGGATCACTTTGGTTACACCAAATAGAGTAAATAGCCATGACAGGGTGAGGTAAGTTCTCAGCTGATTTCTACAAAGCTGCGAGCTCTGTGGAGCTCACAACCTGCATTTATCTTGTTACAATTTGAAGTAAAGAGTGGGAGAGGCACGGCCAGATTTTGCCTTGCTGATATCCAAATAATTCCACATATTTTCCACCTGGAGACTCGAGTCTGCCCTGCTGCCTGTGGCTTGGGAGCCTTTGGCTCGCTCTGTTTATGGTTCATTAAAGAGATTCCATGTTGCTCCGTGGCCAGAACAGCTGTGGATATTGTCAGTGCTTCAGAGCAAAATGGTGGATGAGTTCCCTTCTTATCTTTCTAGTATTTTTAGATGCTTTTACGATGAACCAAAGTGTTTTCTCCAGCTGAACTTTCTCTTTCGTACTAACTCTTCTCCAAAAAACATCTACGGAAAGCCCAAAGAGCTGCTATATTGCATGCAGGAAACACCCAGAGTGACCAGCCAGCCATGGGGAGCTTCATCTTCCCTGCAGAGTGAGCTTCTCTCGGATGAGGCTTGCAGCAGATGGCTGGGAAGTGAGGCGAGGAAGCCAAGCTGTGTATCCGATCGGGAGAGGAGCGCCTGAGCCGTGCGCGTGGGACTTGGCTCCTTAGTGTCCGCGTCTTGGCTGAGCTCAGCAGCAGATGGGCAGTGACAGTGGGAAGATGGGCTGCTTGTTAGCATCAACTTCCAGAGTGGAATTTCCCCCTAAAGCAAGTTACCCCCTTTCTTTAAGCAGCTATAGTCATTCTGCTTAGGTCCGGGTACAGAAGGAGCCTTTAAAGCCCCCCATCTACTGCTGTTTGTATAACACGGCTGCTTCCTGACTCCAGACTCCATTAAAACAGCCTCTTGGAACATCTGGGCTCCTCCAGCACATAAAAATGTTTTCCTTCTGGCAGCAGTTTTTATGGAGATGTAATAATAGATGTTTTGCAAGAAGATCAAATCATTCTATTTTCAGATTCTGCTTCTCACCATTGAGCTCAGCCTGTCCAGGTGTGGAGGACACTCAGGAGGGAGCCTGTGGAAGTAAATGAGCCCCTGCTCCAGCTGTGGTCCATTTGCTGATACCGCCATCCTCACCACAGCATGGACGTGTGTGTGTAGCTCTGAGTTCTGCTCTCCAGGCAGAGTGTCTCCATGACATGTAACAAGCTGACTGCAGTCTAAGGGAGAAATTAAACGTCCTTGTTCTCTTTCTTCACCCCCCCCTTCTAGGTTATCTTTTGCCTTGAGGGTTCCAACTAAATTACATGCTTCCCCAAGCCTGTTAGAGACTTGGCTTATTAGAAGAAACCTGTAGCTGGCTCAGATTTTTCAGCTTTACCCTGAGGGAAGGATATGAACAGATGGATAAGGGAATTCAGTGGGATTAGTAAAACCCTTTGAAGACTGTTCTTCCCACTACATTTTTCTCCTGGTTTTGTTTTTGTGCCATCTCAGCACATTTTGTATCAGTTGAGGTTCCTGGGACTGGTGTTTGTTGTTCAGCAGCTTGTCCATGTCTAGCCAGAATGAACTGGGGAAGGCAGCCTTTTCCCTAGCACAGGTCATGGATTTTCAGCCCAGGCCATGAGGAATGTTTTATGGGGCAAAGTGTGATAGAAATGAAGCAAATGCTGCATTCTGCAGAACCAGCTCCCAGGTTTTGATCTTAGGGATAAGACCTGACCCAGTTCAGGTCCCTGTCTCGGTTCAGCCACACCACCAAGAGCATGGTATCATTATATACACTTACATGATCCAACTCTGTTGCTTCCTTCCCCCTCATAGCTAGATGCTGGTTCAGCTTTTTGGTCTGAAAGAACTACAAACCATCACATTTCTCTTTCCATATTATTGCAGCAGTTGAAATCAGCAGCAGTGTGGCAGGGAGTGGAGGGGTTTGTGTTCTCTGCACCTTCCTTCTCCACTGGCACGTAAATAATGTCTAAGGTGTCTTTTGCCAGGAGATGCTGAGAATGGAGAATGTCCCCTCCGTGCGGGGGGAAGTAGTGTTTGAGGCAAAGATGAAGAGAAGCAGCTGGTTTTGTAGGGATAGTTCACATCTGTTACACTGCCTGCACCATCCTCGTGTGTGTCTCATCACCAGCAACCTTGTTTTCATATCCACATGCTGTGCTGCTGCATGTTCCATGTTCACTATCACACATCTCCTGCAGCCTCTTGGTAGGTAGGGGCTGGCAGTGTTGTAGGGCCTGTCTGCATGAGGGATTTGCAGCAGGGATTAGTTGATTCCTGGATTTTATTACACTACATTTCTGTTATCAACATGTGGAGTGCTGGGAAACTCTCAGTCGGTTTCTAGTCTGTTTGCACAGAAAGAGGAGTTCCTCCAGGATTTGAGACGCTCTTGTTCCATCCCTTCTCTTGGTAAGGAAAGCTGTCGTGCACCTACTGCCAGATTTCCATGTTCTCAATGGCTCCGTGTCCTTCCTTTCTAGATGGAGAAAGATGAGACTGTGAGTGACTCCTCTCCACACATAGCCAATATCGGACGCTTGGTAGAGGTAAGTGCTGTGAAGCCACTTCAGCTCGAGCCTGCTGCAGGTTCTCTTGCCTGTGTTTGATCCTAACACAGAACCGTAGAATGGTTTGTGTTGAAGGGACCTTAAAGCTCCTCCAGTCCCAACCTCTGCCACGGGCAGGGACACCTTCCACTAGAGCAGGTTGCTCCAAGCCCCTGTGTCCAACCTGGCCTTGAACACTGCCAGGGATGGGGCAGCCACAGCTTCTCTGGGCACCCTGTGCCAGCGCCTCAGCACCCTCACAGGGAAGAGCTTCTGCCCAAGAGCTCATCTCAATCCCCTCTCTGGCAGGTTAAAGCCATTCCCCTTGGCCTGTCCTTACTTGCTCTCTTACAAGTCCATCTCCAGGTTCTGTCCCTTAGAATTGTGTTGCCTTTGTCTTTACAAACAAGTTATTTATTTCTGTTGTATCAAGTCCAATGGTGTGGATGTTGCTCAGTGTTTGAGGGATCAGTATTTCTCCTATCAGGGCTTCCAACCATTTGTAGATACAAAAGCACTGCTCAGCACTTTGTCCCCTGCTCATTAAAGCTGTAACTTCCCACTAGGTGCAGTAGTAAGAGTTAACAGTTTCCAACCCCTGTGTTTGCTTCTACAATTGCTTTTGGGTGGCATTATTTCAAGTCAGGTTTTGTTACACAGACCCATCCCTTTCCCTGAAGGTTCAGAGTGTATCGAGTGCTTATTAAATCCACTGGAATGGGCTTTAGTACTTGATTTTATGGCTGTTGTCAGTTGTGGATGCTCAGATGATGAGTGAAGGTGCCACCTCCCCAGAAGGGCTTTGCTACAACACGGTTTTGCTGTCTCGTTGCACTGTCCTGTATGGTGGTGGTGGTGATTTCCTTCATCTTTGTGGCCTCTTTCACAAGAAAGGAGGAAATTCTCAACTCAAATAGACTCCACTGGATTTTCAGAAGGAACTAGGAAGTGGAAGGGGGGCAGGAACTTCTTTGTCAATCCCTTTTCCAAGTTTTTGGCTTGAATGAAAGTGACTTAATGAAAAACTGCTGCTTATTTACAGGATCTTTCCCAAAACTGTTTGCCATGGCATGAAACAACTGACCTGGTGGTTGTGCTGAATGACTGAGTGGGACTGGCCACTTCAAGGTGTTCAGTGCCAGGAAATTACAGAGTAAGGTTGGGGTGAAATCCGTTCTCTGCAGCTCAGTGCAGATAAGTGATAGCTGGACGGCAGCTGCCCTCTTGTGGTGCGAAGAGTGTGTTGTATCCTGGAGTAATGGCTGGGAGGAGCAGGCAGGACCAGAGCCGAGCCTTTACTCCTTTGGTGAGAGCAGAGAGAGAGGCTTGTACTGCCCTGAGAGAGTTTAAATAGTAGGAATACACTGGACTGAAGTGGCAAATGTGTAAAGCAGCTCCAGTGCCTAAAGGGGCTCCAGGAAACCTGGAGAGGAGCTTTGGACAAGGGATGTAGGGACAGGCCAAGGGGAATGGCTTTAACCTGCCAGAGGGGAGACTGAGATGAGCTATGAGGGTGGTGGGACACTGGAAGGGTTGAAGGGAGAAGCTGGGGCTGCCCCATCCCTGGCAGTGTTCAAGGCCAGGTTGGAAACAGGGGCTTGGAGCAACCTGCTTTAGTGGAAGGTGTCCCTGCCCGTGGCAGGGGATTGGAACTGGGTGAACTTAAGGTCCTTTCTAACCCAAACCAGGCTGGGATTCCAAGATGAAGTGTTGTACCTCAAGATGAACACACACAATGCACAGCAGAGTGTGAGTGAGAACAACTGACCTCACCAAACATCTGGGTTCTTCCTTTTCTAGGAGATGGAAAACAAAATCAGAAGTACACTGAATGAGATTTATTTTGGAAAAACAAAGGACATCGTGAATGGGCTGAGGTAAGGGGCTTCCTGCTGCCCACTGAACCCTCTGCTGCCCACAGGGCCCATGGCACTGCCCTGCCAAGCACTGATCTGCTTTTGCTCACTGGAGCTCCCCTTCCCTCCCCAGCCTTGTCATGTCCCTCGTTGTCCATCTCCCTGTGCTCTGGAAGCATGATTTGTTGTGTGGAGTTTATAGACACTTCTACCTTGTAACTGCAGGTGTGAAGTGATGTTTTAATCCTTTGTTCCCTCAGCA